TTCCAGTGATCCTCGTCTCTCTATCCACCGATTTGGAAATGTTAAATCGATGTATTGCCGGACATTGATTCGGTAATGTGGTGGTGCTCCATCCTGCTACAATCATATCACATCATCTGGAACTGGTGGGTTTGCTTTAGCAGGATATAAGTTTGACAAAGTTGGCACGACAATATTTTGAAGTAGAAGTAAATATATCTGCATTCAAGTTGCCATCAATGAAAAAGGGACCGATGACATGGTCTCCAATTATGTATACCCGCCCAAACATTAACCTTTTCAGGGTTTTTCGTTCGTAATTCTCTTATCCAGTGAGGATTTTCATTGGCCCAGTTTTGACAATTAACATGGCTGTAAAGAGTAAGAGTGGATTTGTCAGAAAACAAAACATTTTCTAATTGGATAACATTGTTATCTAACCTTTACACCACTTGTTTACAAAAATACGTTCTTCTATCAAAATCGCCCTCAAGCTCCTGAGTTGGAATCGGTTTATAGGAATGCATTTTATTTTCTTTTAACACAAGAATAATCAATGAGCTAATTGTCGTCTTGAACTATGTGGGTTTTCTTCAAACTCTAGCAGAACATCTAATTTGGTAGCGTTACTCATTGCATTTGAGGCTTCTTTTTTTATCTGCAGTACATATTCATTTTCGCGAAAGTGCTTTTCAATTTTGCTAATTATATCTTGGGGCATAGGCGGCAAATCAGGAAATTTTTCTTCAAATAGGCGGGCAACTTCGGTTTGTGATCGCATTCTATCTCTGCAGCCAATCATCTGTATAATTGTTACCTATTTTATGCGTTTCTGATAAATAAACGAAATTTAGGAATTGCAGGCAGCAAAACTCAAACAATACGCAAAACACTAACAACTATTTATTGCTGCCAATTAAATAGCAAGTAGCTACGCGTTTTCAATAAAACTGTCGATTATTATGTCTTCTTTTTTAGTTTTTAGATAATGTTGAAAAAGAACAAGCACATGTTTTTGTTTGTTGCAACGAATTTTATCAAGTTGACCGCTAATTTTTGCAATAAATATTAAAACCATATAATTTTTTAATAGAGAATGAAAAAACCTCGCTTCGCTCGTGCGACTTTTCCTCACTCGTCACACAATGTACTATTTTATATTGCAGGATGTTATTTCAGAATCGAAAATCGACGTGTCTCGGGATTTTTTACAACTATGCACAAATAAAGATACGTACTGAGTGTATTCTATTTGACTATTCCACACTGTGTTGATTGTTTAAGACTTCTGACCAATGATATGAATTAGATGATGAGTATGTACCAAATGTTGCATCAGTTAATGTATATACTTGCGAAGCTTATAATTTATTCTAACCGAAAGTTAGTTCGAGTTCTATACTAACGGCGTGTGTTTCCACAAGCAACGGGATGCGGTTCGTTGTGGTCTGGTTTATTTCGAACCAGAGCTGTCAAACCGGCATGTGGTGTAATTATAATTAACAAGTGTTGCAAAAACGATTGAAAAGACATGTAGATATTTGACTTGTGTGTGCTTGTAGAGAAGTTTGGTCAAAAGGCCACAGTCCATTTCCCAGGTTCGCTAAACTACACGCTGTATAATCGTGTAAACCTACCACTTAAGATATTTTTAACAAAATTTTCGTCGCTCTGTACAAAAACCATCTTTTATACTAATTTCCAACTACAATTTCATTGACATTTTGAATGCTACTTCCGTATATGTCTATTACTCACTTTGTGTAGGTAAATTTTTATTGTCTTTTACTTTTCTCTTTTCGTAAATTCTGGAGATATGTCGATTTTCTAGATAAATCGCTAGAAAATGTATGATTCACGCCATTTTGGTTTCTTTGAAATATTAAAAAAGACATAAAATTTTTAATGTAGTATGACAAATTATTATAGCATGATAAAAAGGTGTTAAAGCATTTGGCCTTCATTGGCTAAATTGTCTTTCATCAAATTTAATTCCTTCCGTTTGTTTATAATTGTTCTAATTGTTAACTACAGGTATTGTAATGGTCAAGAAACATAAATATAATAGATTTGTATATTACATTACCTCGAGAATTTAATTTAACATTTTAAAATATAAATCATTATTTATCGAATACTATCGAAACAAATAAAGTATACCATTTTTATGTCAAAAGGTTAGGAAAACAAAAATATTTAGTCAAATTTCTTATAAAGTGTAGCACAAAAAAGTTGGAAGCATTCAAATCAAAATAAAGGCTCGTATGTGGCGCCCTCTACAAAATGCGAAAAAACGGTGGGCAAATTTATAATCCTCATCCCGAAAAAAAACCCATATACGAAATTTCGTCAAAATATTATGAGTGTGGCAAAAGGTATTGCAAAAAAAATGCAAATAAAATTTAACTTTAACACCCTGTAACTCCGTTAATAATCAGTTTTGGAAAAAATGTTATAGAAAGAGGTAGCATTTATTTTCGGTCTAGAATTATTCCCTGATTTTTTTGCTCATCATTTCCGGACACGCTGTATAAAATTACAGAAAAGAAAACTGCGAATGAAGATCATATATTTAATCGTGTTTGTGGATCATCTCTTTTAGAATCATTTATATGCAATACATTTTTGCAGTTTCTAGTAAGTACAATTTATTGAAATCAGTGTTCCGTAAAAATATGTATGTAATAAATGAGCTCATTTCAAATTTTTCGTGGGAAACATCCATCTCGCATTGCAATTTTAACTTTTGGTCAGTCAGCAGCATTGTCTTTGGAATGCAGCGGCTTCATGGGTTGTGCAGCAGTGCCTGCATGTATTTGGTTTTTTGCTTCAGGTCAACGCAAGAGTATTGGAAAGTTGATGAGTTCGTAGCGGTACTGCCCATTGCGATTTCTGCAGTTTTCTCCACAGAACGCTGCTCTGACCCATTATTTTACACGTCTGTACGTAAATTACTACCAAACTTTGTTATAAAAAAATAATATTGTAAATGTCATTATTTTAAATGACATTATCTATTAAAACGTAATTTAAATTTTTGTAAGAAACTTACTTCCCATTTATGTAGATGTTAAATAACTCCAGTCCCTAATATTTTGAAAACACTTAACAATGTTTTGTTTAATTTGTAATCGTATAATTAACAAATATTGTAAGAAGAATTTAAAACGGACCATAGTAATACTCCATTTTACAACGATACAAAATAATTTTATATAGTAAAAAAATTGTGTTTTGCATGAATTAATGTGGGTAACTGTTTTTAGGGAGACACTGACATTAAATATGACCATTTCTTTGTTCATCTGAATAGTTGCAACCTAGGAAAAAATCAAATTAATCGAACTAATCCTTGCAGAGTCAAAAGGATCAACCAAGAATTGTTTTTATAGTATACAATTATTATTGGTGGAAGAATGAGTTTAATCAGTTTTTAATTTTTTTCAAAAGGGCAAAATTTGAAGAAAAAGTAACCAGTGAAATTGAAACTGTAAAGAGTCTGCGTTTTAGGTTATGTTAAAGATATTATTCAAATTAAATCATTTTTCTTTTTTCTAAGAGATATCTAACTCTGAACAAGATAAGATCTTTAACTGATTATATTGTAGAGAAACATGCCCCGATTAGCACTGAATTAATCTTGCAATATCTATTAGGTAAACACTTAAGAATTGAAAACAATATATTCAAATAACTATTATTATTAATTGGAAAACATGCCCGACATATTGAAATCATTAAATAGTTTAATTTTTCAAGGAAGCAGCTTTTATTCTTGTTATTCTAGAATACTTACTGAATGACAGTACCAATATTTGTCTTTCAAGGAATATCTGATTATATTTTGAATGTAATATTCTTGAGAACAGAAGAAAATCGCAAATATCTGAGAAAATTGAAACTGTAGCCCTTACAATGCCTATATGTGTATAGATGAAAAGACAATTTGATTTTCTCTAATATGGTGCAAAAAATACAGGGTGTTCCATTTAAATTTAAAAAATGTTGTCGCTTTTAAGTTTTCAAAATGTAACATAAGCACTTAGTATAATTTTCTTCAGGTGATTTTGATAGTAGAAGAGTGCATCTTATGTTATTTGTGTGTTTGAAAAAACAAGTGAAAGCTTCCAGAACGAAGAAAAATATAAGGAATATTCGGACGCTTTCGTCTGTCAAATTTTTTACAAAATGTCGATTATCTCGAAAACGGTTAGATTTAGGTACAGGTAACATTTTTGACTTATTTTTTATTTATCTTGCTGATAATGCAATAATATATAGGGTGTTCCTTTTAAAATAACTAAGTTCTACTTCAAGTATAACCGGAAGTGTTAAGTTGATGGCATTATTTTCATTGAAGAGAGCTTATCTGATAATCCCCGTAAACAAAATTTCAGAGTTATACTAACCTTGGTTTCTCTGAAATGTTTAATAGGCCACTTACCGTGAAGAACCCCTTATAGGTATAAATATAAATGCAGTAATATGTATTTAAAAACAATGAAATTAGGTAGGTTGCAGGAGGAATGAGGCATCCTGTATGTTGGAAGGTTGTTGTAAAATATGAAGAAACTTTCACGGAATTTTTATTTGAACTTTTTTTTGTATTATTGATACTATGGAAGAACTGGTTGCTGTATACTCACTTGCTGAAAAGATTTGTAAAAAAAAGGTCTATTTTAACATACTACATTCATGCAGTGTCCTAAAATAAAACTATGTGAAAGACCAAGAGACTTTCCACACAAGAACCTTTCAGATAAAACTAGATAAACCCAGTCATATTTTAACACATGGAACTTTACCAGAAATGTTTTTGTCTTTAGAACAGAACAATATTTCAACTTTCAATAAACAGAAATGATTTAACCACTTTCATACGCTTATGGCGTTACAAAAACGTAAAAATAACGAAAATTATTAATCAAAACACTAGAATTGACTTTCCATGTTGTTTACTTTACACTCATGCTGTCAAACTATCATTTTCCGCAGAAGAGCGTTATGAAATAACAAATTACCTCGCACGTCACTCCGGCCACGGCCTTTGCCTGGGTCTGCCTCATTGCGAAGATTTTACTCACTTAAGTCACTATAACCAACATCCGCACTAGAATAATCGCGTACAAATCTCTCGGTCCAGCAGTGCAACGCGTGTCCGTCTGTACGTGTGCCCGCGATAGTGCGTAACACAAGATCTTTAATGATTAAGTCTCATGGTCCTACGAATTAGACAACTTCCTATGGATGGGACGTCATTATGTGCCCTCATTACCATCTAATTGTGGGAAATTGTCGTTGATGATGTTTTCCTAGCAATTCAAGCGAAACTTTGCTCATTTCTCTGGCATGTAGATAAGGTACCGATGCGATTGTTTTAATTAGGATTAAGATTTAACAAAATTTATTATTTTCAATACCAACATTACATATTTCTGATATGAAAAAACAATTTTTACATAATCCGTTTCAGAAATTTTTATTCAGAAACTTCAATTGGAATAGTAGATCTATTTAATTAATGAATACAAAATTGAGGGAAAAATTAATAACTTTTAAGGAAAGCAACATAATTTCGGTTTCGGCTTATTTAATTTGAACGGTGAAGGTCGGGGGACATAGTGACAAAAGGAGGAGGGTGTCCCCAGTGCTAATTTCGTTTCATAGAGTAAACGCTACATATTCCCAAAAAGCACATCAAAATTTGAAACAAACTTATAAATGCACAGAGGAGAAGTTATAAATAATGAAATAATGAATGTGTGTTTCAATACATTTAAACGTAATCCACTGAATTCTCTAAATAGTACAATAGTAAGAGAAAACGCAATTAAGCTAGTTTTCGAACAATTAACAATTAAATTATAAGTTACTTGACTGCTGTTGTATAATTTTCTCCTTTTCTGCATTTTTATATGCATCTTTTCAGTTGATCCCATGACATATGATAGTGGTATCACAAAATTTGTAATTTCATTAATATACGGAGTGTTCCAGTTTTATTGATGAAGCAATGAGGTCATAATGCTCTTCACTTTTGAGGTAGAGTGCATTAAGTTTTTCAAACAAAAAAGAAAATTTTCATTTTTTAATTTCCGAACTATCAAAGACGTCCAAACTAAATTTAGTACAGGAGATAAATGTATAAAGGGCAATATGATTAAAGAATACCAAGTAATAAATTAATCAGAAGCGTAGATATGGGTAATCAGTACCACAGTACCATTAATTAGGTAGGTCACAAAAGAAGTCAAAATATTCAGGCCCGTGTGTATAATAAAAACAAAAATTATTTTTCGATAAAACATTTATTTATGAACAAACAACGTCTATTAATAATTTTTAATATCTATGTGTCGCCGTTTCGCGGCAAACTTAATTCTTGACTGGATTTATTTAATTTTCAGGATTGTTTTCTAGTGGTAACAAACTATTTAAAGTCTCCTAATTTTTAAATTTGAACTATCTTTTCGTCTTTATTATAATATTTTATAACGCTATAAGATAATAATCTGTAATATGTGTTTGATATGTTTTGTATATCACGAATCCAATTTTCATTTTATTTATTTCATTATTGAATATACTATAAATATACCTATTATTATTGAATATAATATAAATATGTGATCAATAATACTGCGAGAATTATTTGCTACCCTTGAAGGTTTACTACTAAAATCGGTTTGACTGAAAGCAATAAAGATTCGGAGTGAATTCATTGAGTGAAATTATTGAGTACATTTTCACTCAATATCGGGCATTTTGATCATTTTACTCATTTGCGATTATATTCAAACTGAAACTGAGTAATTTCACTGAAATATAGGTACGTCTTAAATAAAATCTTCACGTAAACTCGTATTTGGTGCACTTATACCTAAATCAGAGTAAATGTCCTCATTACTGAGTGAAATTAAATGTACATATATTAATTTCGAGTAATTTGATTGGCGCCGTGAAGATGGCATTACTCATATAGGGGCTCGTTAGATGCTTCATAAAAGCGCGAGCGCCAGGAGAACCGGCCTTAGCCGGCGACGGCGGATCTCAGCTGGCGGGTCTCAACCAGGACAGGAGGAAGGAGGCCCCGCGAAGTGAACTAATTTCAACACTGTATATCCTAATTAATCATTAATGAGTGATTTATTTTTGCACTCAATATTTAGTTAATTAAAAACCAAGTCTGAATAAAAATTGACTCAATAATAGTTAAATTTAAATCATATCAAAATTTTGCAAGAGACCAATTCGATAGACAATTGAATACTTTATACGAAAATAGTGCCCGTTTGACAAAATTACCAGGGGCGTAGAAAACATTTTTCAAAAAGGGTCACGTTGACCCCGACTCTACGACACTGCTGCTCATAACATTTTGAGCAGTACATCAAACATTGGTATTAAGGTGCTAAGTACGCATAGCAAATTTGAAATAGAAATGTTCAGGCATTTTGGAATTATTGCAGACAATGTTTAATTTTATAGAAACTTTGACGCCCTGTATCTCGTTAAGGAGGCATTTGCTACCCTATGTTTATTAAGGCTTTTTGTCTTAATTTTTCATGTATTATCTACCCTAGAAGTCTGTCAGCTGTTTTTTGAATCACCCTGTATTTATTAAGTCTATTACCATTTTATTTACTACCAACAACAATCAAATCCCTATATCTAACATAAATTACTGAAGGTTTGTTGCCAAGTTAATGAAATTCCAATAACAGTGCTAATTTTTTTGCAAACTAAATGCGATATAAAAAATCAAAAACAGGGAGAATGAAATAATCACAAAAAGTAATGATGAGATCATTGTATTGTGGATATATTTAGTAGCGTGGTTCTAAAACCTTGTTATTTATTTTTACATAAAGATTAATTTGAATTTGGTTTGGTTTTTATTAATCGTAGAGTACAAAATTATTTCTGGTTAATTATTACAATTAATCTTGGTATACGAAGGCACTTTGATTAAATGCTTTAATTGAATTATCGTGTTGTGAATGACATCATACAAAACCAATAATCTTGAAACTGTAAAGTACTGAACGGTAGAAATTTTGAAGTAGATGTAGATAGGTACATACTAAAATGCTCGGCCTTACTTTAATAGTGATACAAACATATGTCCGGAAACGTTTCGTTTGGAGATACGGAGGATTACAATTGAGGAAAAAATGTTTTTTTTTTGTAAGAACAAATGAAGCAAGAATTTTATTCAAAGTTGATATGCAATTTCCATATGTGCACCCTATATTTTTTCTTCTATCCAGAAATTTTTTAAATAAGGATAATATAATAGATATATGTATATATTATATATAGATTTGTTGCTAATTAAAAATATATATATATGTATTATATTATAAAAGTAACACTTTCATTTTATTTTCACCGTTCCAAATTTTGTAGTGATATTTATTTTCCTTCATAGGTGTATTGAACTGTAGATCCCCTCGTTTTATTACTACCTCCAAGTCTGTAAAGTCCCGAAGAAAAAAATTATTTTGCATTGTTGGAGCAACTCATTTGATTACTTTGTATCAATCCCAACCACATACTTGTCATGTCTAGATGTAGATACAGCTTTTACAATAGGAATATTTCCAGGTCAATGTCGCTACATTTCTGCAAGAGGTCGAAATACTTGTAATGCAAATATATGGTCCGTTAACATCGCAATGAATTTGGGAGGTGCCCGGCCTAAGAATTTATTTTGTCAACTATCCAAAAGAAGCTTGGTTCTAATTCAAAACTTATCTACCTCTGAAATTAGTCCATTCAGTTCTGTAGTCAAAAGTGAAAGAAGATGTATACACCCTAATTATCAATCATACTATAAATAGTAAGTATAGTTATACAATACACCTCAAGAATAACAAGAATATCCCTCTTGCAATTTCTCTTGGCTTAACTTTGATGGCTCCATCCATGCTATAATGTTGAAATATTTCAAGGCAAGATTTTTTAGCTCTATTTTATACCTACACGTTTATACCTTCCTTATTTTAAATATCATGTAATGCGATCTTTAATGCAGACTCCGAAGTACATCAATCTGTTTCCATTACAATTTGATATACGATTTCGATCCATTAAATATAACCTTGACGATGGTTTCGGAAATAATCGACCTCAGAGTTTACAAATAAATTTAGAATCACGTTATCCATGAAATTTAAATATTTCAACAGACTAGATTTAATTCGCTATAAAATTAATTGAACATTTACCATAAGTTAAGATTTTTTTAACTTCTTAGTTCTTAATTTGTATTAATTGTTTAGGAAATTTCAACATGACGCCTTATGTCTGAGGATTTACCATTTAAAAACACATATATGGGTTTTCCTACTGTAACTGTAAAATAATTATATAATAAAACAGATATTTTTAGACAGCAAATAAAGAAAATTTTAGTTAAGCACGGGGTTTGCGATAACTATAAAACCAGTTTTGATTACTTTTTAAGAAATCCGGGTAGGTATGAGAAGAAAGGTAAAAATGTTAGACGCTATTGTACTCGTATATAGCACAATGACTATTAATATCAATATTTCAAGGAAAATATATTTTTTATGTAACCTTTACTGTAACTTAAATATGTCCTTTCTTTTCATTAACGTATTAAAAGTTAAGTAGCACAAGATTTTTGGTAGTGTATGTACGGAACAATGGATATTTCGAAACAGATGGATAATGTGATTTGGCACTATGCATGATGCCCAGTCAATGTGAAAAAAACTGAAAAATTGCCTCACTTTCTTCTAGCAGCGCAATAGAAAAAAAAGTTTAAGGTCATTATATTCAAGTAAATATGCAGGTTAAGTTAAATTAGGTTAGGTCAGCATATGTACACAAATTTTGTGAAGAATGTGACTATACAGAGTGTCCCGTAAGTACTTGTACAACAAAAGACCACATACCTATCCCTGAACTTCAATTAGGTTGATTTAATCCACTTACATCCAAAAAAATGTTTAATCTTTTAAATAACTCTTGATTATTTTTTAAGTTTAGGCTTCTGCGTTCAACTGACACAATCTGGTGTCATACAGAGGGTTTTTTAAAAGTTACAACTGATGTGAAAATATCGGTCCTTAATATTTTTCCGTTTATACAATACTGACAGATACTTTCATTAGCTATCTAGCTATCAGTTATTAACTGATAGCTGATAGGATTTGGATGCTTTTGTCTCTTGTATAATTTTCAATAAATGAGCGGTTTAGGTACACACATCTGATTTGACTGTATTTGTTTGTGCTTTCAGTTTGATTTTTGAAAGTGGTTGTACCTGTCAATTCTTAATGAGTATTTAATACCACAGGATGGAAAGA